TACCCCACAAGTGCGAAATACACGTGGCAGCGTGCACCAGCCCATATGTCTGTTACACGCACCATGATCCTCGCCTAGATGGCGGGGCAGGTGTGCGAATGCATTTACGAAACCACGTTCATTTCGTCCACTCGTTTCGTCAGGTTGACTCCTGGCCTAGAAACAAGGGAGACATGGGTCGGCACTGCTTGTAGTGGTCTGCACGTGGGGGGGTGGCCGGGCCGCGTGCACTGTAGTTAGCCATCCAGGTGGCTGTACATGGGGTGCAGCAAGCAGGGGTTTCGACCTCGGGGGCAGCGTGTCCATCCGGTGCATGGCAAATTCGCGTGCACTGGTCGGGCATCATGTGTACCACCCAACCGAAACACCATCCCCGCAGTTCGGTTGTCATTTCTTTCTGCCCAGATTGTTTCCCTCGATTTCCTTCCCTTCCCCTCTCGGCTTTTGATTGGGCCTCGCATTTTTTTCCATCCCAACCCCTTCCTTGCACCTGCCCAGAAACCGATTTGACACGAGCAAAATTGATCGCAACCAATGAATTCTCTTTTTTTTGCATTGATGCCGTCCCGCACCTTACGCAAGTGCTAGACTATGACTACTAACACGTCAAGCAAGCGTGACATACCCAGCACTTCGAATATCCACTCCCGTTCAAATGAATCATTTGAAGTTGAACGTAACTGAACCAGAATAACAACAAAAGTGTTACCCACAAACCTGCAATCACACAGAAACAACCACAATGGAGGATTACCGCACTGCTCCTACCTGCCACCACTGTTCCGCATTGACCCGAATTTTGGCGCTTCAGCCACGATGGGTGATGGGTGTACTGTTCCCTTCCCTCCCTGCCACCACGATTCTGACTCTTCTGTTCAGTTCTTCTTCACCTAAATTTGGCGCTTCTGGATTTTCATGACCTACAGCGAACAGCGTCAGTTTTCATCTCAACCGCTCATGTATTACGGCAGCATCTCCACCCTTGGTTCAGCCTCTGCGCTGCGCAAACCTCACCCCGGCAGTGTCAGCTTGTCATGCCACGCGATTCCAACCACGCGATTCGAGCGGTGATTCCATCATTCCAAGCCTCGCTGCAAGTTGTCCCTCGCTGCAGCTTCATATTCGGTTGAGTTTGTGAGCTTCAATTCGAAGACTTGAAGACTGCTTCGACGGCCTGCTCAACGTGGAAGACTTGAAGACTTGGGGACTACAGCGCCTCTCCACGGCTGAAGGAGCACAACAAGAGGCGTTTCCATCGTGCCTTTCAGGGTACTCAAGAACGCGCGCGCGTGAAGACTAAAGAGGCGGTTTCAAGTTGTGCGTTTCAGGCACACAAGATCAAGCGAGGCGTTTTCAGGTTGTGCCTTTCAGGCACACAAGATCAAGCGAGGCGTTTCCAAGTTGTGCGTTTCAGGCACACAAGATCAAGCTCGAGGAGTTCCTGCCGAGGAGTTTCCCTTGTGCCTTTCAGGCATTCAAGAACGAGCGCTCGTGAAGACCAGAAGAGGCACTTTCCACTCGTGCGTTTCAGGTACACAAAGAGCCGCGGAGGATTTTATCGCTTCCCTATCTCCTCTATTCGTTCTTCTCCCCCCTCAGATCACGGGAGGAGCACCACGGTCCGATCTTCTCCATGGTGAGCTTCCTTCCGCCTTTGCTTTCAGTTTTTATTGTTGTTTCTGTATTTGTTGCTGTTCTTTATTTTCTTCTCTTTTCTTACTAAATTACCCTTTGGTTTCTTCCTCTACGCTGCAGGTTTAGCATGGAGCCGCGGAGGAAGCTATCACCCTCCCTTTCTCCTCTGTTTCTTCCTCTCCCCCCTTAGATCACGGGAGGAGGACGGTCAGATCTACTCGGTTTATACGGTAGTACCGGTGAGCTCCACTTCTCCTTTGCTTTCAGTTTTTGTCATTGTTCCTGTCTTTGGTGTTCTTTTTTCTTTTTTTCTTGTTTCTACTAACGTACTCTTTGCTTTCTTCCTCTGCGCTACAGGTTTAGCATGGAGCCGCGGCGTATCACCCTCCCTTTCTCCTCTGTTGTATCTCCTCCCCCCTTAGAACACGTAAGGATGGATTCAGCCAGCGGACAAAGCGCCTTCTTCGACAAAAAGGTGTAAGATTTCATTGTACTTATATTTCTGTTTTTGTTTCTGCATTTGTTTCTGCTTGTCTCAGTTGTTCTATTTTGCTTTTCTTTGCTTTGTTTTGTTTTGTTTTGCCGTTGCGATCGTATCACCATCTCTGCTTTTTTTTTTCCACCCTCAGATCACGCCGAAGAACAGCAGCTTCAATCGAACAGACGAAACCTTAGCACGAACCGACTGACCGACAGATCGTTAGAACCCGCGACCCGGCGATGTGCGAACCGTTAGAACCCGCGACCCGGCGACGTGCGAACCGTTAGAACCCGCGACCCGGCGACGTGCGAACCGTTAGAACCCGCGACCCGGCGACGTGCGAACAGACAGACGCGTTAGATCCTGCGACATGGCGACGTTCGAACTGACTGGCCGAACGACATACCAAACGTATGGACCCCCCCCCACCTGGCCCAACTACTTCGGCTGCTCCTGAGGCAACAATCTGCGGAAGGTGGCTTCTTCCTGGCATCAAGCAACTTGAAGTTTGAGGTGTTCCTGCCGGATGGCAGTTTAATACTAACTTTTTGCCCTCTTTTTCCCAACAGGCCCCAGACGATTGACCTCCACCTCATCGCGGTGTCTGGGTGTAATTGACGCTAGGAGCTTGCTCCTAGCGGCCAAGAGGGGTCAAGAAGACGTACAAGTCAAGCTGCGTGGAGTAATGGCTCTTGAAGTTTAGGAATTTTTTATGTTTTGATAGTTTATTAGTCCTGCATGCTATGTATTGTTAGTGATGCCAGTTTGAACTTATTACGAACACTCCATTTCAACACTTGAACAATACAGTTCTCACTCTATGCAGCAACACTTGAACAACACTTGCATCAGTCAATGGAGCAACATACTTCATAGCACAAAGGTCACGCTGCTGCGGGGGAGTTGAAGCACCAGGCCCGCCCGCACACACAGACAGACCTGCGTAATTCTAGAGCTTGGAATTCACAGTTGTTGGGAAGAAAGCTGGACTGGTTCGCTTTGAGCGGTTTATGATGTTTCGTCGCGGTGCAAAACGGTGAAGCTTTCAACCGCGTGGAAGCGTTCTATGCCACCGTGTACCCCTTTCCTTGTCGAGTTTCTGTAAGAATGTTCGGGCTGGTCAGTGCAACGAATGCCAGCCAATCAAGTCCATGCAGGCGGTTTTGGTTCCCCGCCAACCAATCTGTCAGTACGGTTCTCTCTGTTTTCCGTATGGTAATTTGGTGTTGGAAGGCTGTGGTGCCTAGATTGTAGTTACGCAGTTCTCGTTTATTCTTCGCGAATACCTGTCGCTCCCTACGAACGAAATTTCAGTTTTAGCGAAATGTCCCCTAACACACGAACAGAGCGGAATTTCAGCCATTCACACAGGCGTCATCAACTTCACATGAATCCCGTGAAGGCAGCATCAGAACGTAAATTCCAGCGTGAAGGCAGCGTGAAGGCAGCGTGAAGGCAGCGTCATCTCAGCGTGAAGGCAGCGTCATCTCAGCTTGAAGGCACCGTCATCTCAGCTTGAGCAATAGTCTTAGAGGTGGACATACCTAGACTAGACACACGTTTTACCATTTCTCTAGTCAGTTTTATAGTGGCCTAGCTCAAATCCTTTCATTTTGTTCCGTACTCCCACTCCGGCTCCATCGTAGGGACTGATTTATCAGCGTTAAGCTTTACGGTTCGTCCGCCGAGAACATCGCGTGCAACTCTCCTGCAGGTGCGGTTGCCTTTACATAATCTCTGCGATATCACGTCTCAATCACGACCTGACATTCAATACCCATATATGGGAGCCATGCTTTACGCCGACTGTTTTCTCTTTCGTTCTTGCGGTTCCTCGAACACGCACGCTTAAGCACGATGTCGGATTGCTGGAATGCGTGGTGCGATCGTCGCGGCCGTTATCCTTCCACCTCTTGGAACCTTCATGAAGAAAGAATGTGGATACGGATCCTGGGTACGGAAATCCCTTTTTTGCGCGCCGATGTGTAGCATCTCTCTGCTTTTGTTACGGGAGGCCACGTCGATATGATTAATCATCTGTTCATACCTTCTGTTCCCGCCCCCGCGTTCTCTCCGTCCCCTTGTCTTCCACCCTGCCTTCTCTCTCATCTGCAGGCTACTATCGCTTTTGCTCCGCCCCGTCTCACCTTCTCGCAGAGCCTTCTGCCACGCGAATCGCGCAGACCCTTCCGCCACGCGAATTGCAGCATGAAACGTCCTGGCAGGCGCAGCAGCAGGAGCAGCAGCCTCCTGCTGGGGCAGCAGGAGCCTCGAGCCTCCTAGTCACGTACCTACCCTCGAGACGTCGCGCGCACGCGCCTGGCCTCCGATATAGGCACGCGCAGACAGCCTGCAGGCATGCGATCCGTTATAGCGGCGCTCTTGCGGGCGGAGGGGATCAGAGGCTTATATCGCGAATTTCATGCATCGGTTCAAGGGACTATCGTGCATAGGAGTCTGTACTTTGGCGGGTTCGATAGTCCCAAGCAGCTGCTTGTGCGTGCAGGTGATCAAAGAACTGGCCAGCAGCAGCACCCTCGCTTCTCCTCCTCTTCCGTTCGCCTCACCGTGTCGTGCTCAAGGCTTGTCTGGGCCTGGTGAAGGTGCTATCTGTGCGCCTGGTGAAGGTGCTATGCGCCTGGTGAAGGTGCTATCTGTGCGCCTGGTGAAGGTGCTATGCGCCTGGTGAAGGTTCTATCTGTGCGCCTGGTGAAGGTGCTACCTGTGCGCCTGGTGAAGGTGCTATCTGTGCGCCTGGTGAAGGTGCTATCTGTGCGCCTGGTGAAGGTGCTATCTGTGCGCCTGGAAGCTGCTGACCAGGAGGCTCATCTGCCGGCCATCATGACTGATCGGCTCTCCACCAACGGGATCGTCGCGACCCGGTATGATACGGAATGGAATGCTCTTCACCCTGCTGCCTGCTGCCTTCACCCTGCTGCCTGCTGCCTTCACCCTGCTGCCTGCTGCCTTCACCCTGCTGCCTGCTGCCTTCACCCTGCTGCCTGCTGCCTTCACCCTGCTGCCTGCTGCCTTCACCCTGCTGCCTGCTGCCTTCACCCTGCTGCCTGCTGCCTTCACCCTGCTGCCTGCTGCCTTCACCCTGCTGCCTGCTGCCTTCACCCTGCTGCCTGCTGCCTTCACCCTGCTGCCTGCTGCCTTCACCCTGCTGCCTGCTGCCTTCACCCTGCTGCCTGCTGCCTTCACCCTGCTGCCTGCTGCCTTCACCCTGCTGCCTGCTGCCTTCACCCTGCTGCCTGCTGCCTTCACCCTGCTGCCTGCTGCCTTCACCCTGCTGCCTGCTGCCTTCACCCTGCTGCCTGCTGCCTGCCTGCCTCCTGCTGCCTGGTTGCCGTCGCCCCCACCCATTCACATCCCGCCACCACTCCCCCCCCCCCCCCTCCCCTTTCCTCCCCTCAGGCGCGCAGATAGTGCAGCGGCTGGTGAGACGGTGAGGCCACACATGTGCTCTCTCCTGACCTGTTTCTCACCCATGCTCTTCTCCTCTCTCTTCTCTTCCAAACCAACAATCCCCCGCACTCCCTTCCTCCCCGCAGGTGCGCGAGATAGTGCAGCGGCTGGTGAGACGGTGAGGCCATGCGACGGTGGCGGAATGGGGGGTGCCGGAGGAGCATCAGCGCAAGGGTGCTTGCTGACCCAGCGCCTGTTCACACACTCACATCCGCAAGGTGGGTCTCAGCAAGCAGCTGGGTCGCTGGGCAGAAGGGTGGAACTGAGGCTAGCTCATGTGCATGTGCTGCTGCCGCCCAGCCATGCTACGGTGGCTGCAGTGGCATCAAGGTGGGTTACAGGGAGGAAATGCGAGTGGCGCAGCGGTTATTTCATGTACACTGTCCCAGGCAAGCCAAACCCTGGCGTCTGCGAGTGGCGCAGCGGTTATTACATTATTATCTGTCCTCCCCATGCATCTGACTCATTTCTCCCTTCGCTTTGTGCCCGCTCCCTCTCCTTTCCCCCCACTTCTCCCCGTTTTCCCTCTTCCACTCCCACACCATTTCAGAACGAGTGACTGGAGCCACTCGAACCTGATTTCCGACACGTCAGCGAACGGCGATTCCAGCGATGACAAGGATTACAGCGATGCTGACGAGGACGAGCGCAGCGTCTTCGGCGGCAAATCACGCGCCGCCCAGTCAAGCGTCTTGCCAGGACACGCTCTCTTCCATGTGTGCTGACGTGGCATGGGGTGTGGCATGGGGTGTGGCATGGGGTGTGGGATGGGATGGGGCATGGGGTGTCAGATGGGTTGTGGGATGGGGTGTTGTGGGTGTGGGTTCTTCCCTTATCATAGCAATTGCATCTTATGGCTGTCAGGCCATTTCTCCTGGTGTGATCCTGCTATCTTTGTTTCCCTTCGTTCGCCTTCCGCTTTTCTGCCCCCATCCCATCTCTCTCTCCTCATTGCTCTTTCTCTCTCTCATCGCTCACACTTCCCTTACGCTTTCCTTCGTCCCCACACTATCTCCTCCATCCCGCCTTACATCTGTCCTCCATTTATCCTCACCTATCGACCCCGTCCCTTATCACCGCATCCACCTCTCCCCTCTCCTCTCTCCCCTCTCCTCTCTCACCCCCCACCCCCCTCTCCTCTCCGCATCCACCTCTCCCCTCTCTTCTCCCTCCCCCCCCTCTCCCCTCTCTGTGGCATGCCACAGCTGCACGAGCGGATCACGGAGGCAGGTGGCGACATGCCATAGGACCTGCTCAATGTCGCAGGCACACGCCGAGCCCTCTCTGCCACCCTGATGAGACTGAGGGGGGAGAGGGTGGTTAGGGGAGGAAAGGAGGAACCAAGGAGGAACCAAGGAGGAACCAAGGAGGAACCAAAGAGGAACCAAGGAGGAACCAAGGAGGAACCAAGGAGGAACCAAGAAGTGGGGATGACGGTGAGGGAATTTGGCAGTTAGGCAGCAGGCGGCTGCGCGGGCTGCCAGTGTGGTGCAAAACGTGGGTGGCAAAGCGGGAGCGGGTGGGGAGGGTGGTGGCACTGCTGGTGGTGGTGACGGTGATAGTGGCAGTGATGCTGGCGGTGATGGGTGGCCTACCGATCCAGGAGATGACACAAATGAGGGTGGGTCTAGTGACACAAGCAGTGCGATCAGTGCAGGGTCAACGAAAAAGGAGTGTTCATTATCTAGCACAGTGTTAGGTGAAGGGGACAGTGTGGCAGTTGTTGTTTGCTTTTACGGATGGCATTGTTGTGAGTGATGGCGACGAAAAGAAGGGTAAGAGCAGGAAGGGCTGATAATAGGAACATTGTACAGGAGAAAATGCTGTTTTGTTTAATTTATTAGTGTAAACTGTACTATTTTTAGCCTGATGCTATCTGCCACGTTTGTCTCTCCTTAGATAAGGGAAATATCGCTATCTATTTCGCTGAATCTGTGTAGAAAGACGGACTTGATATATTATTGATATAAGCTGTCACTCTACCATTGATTGTATAACTGTCATCTGGTTGGTAGCATGCGCTTCGGTAACCCTAACCTGGAACCGAGACTGGGCAAGTGGTTACGCGTCGCACCTGGAGAACTGTCACTGTGCAACTAAAATCAAGACATTTTGAAGGCATTTGTTCCCTCAATCGCTCTCCTAACTCGGTGTCGTTTTCGCTAAGTGGGGCAGGGTTTCAGGTGATATGCCAGCCATCCTGCCGAGTCGCGAGTGCAGCACAGTACAGTAGGCGGGCAGTACTAGTGTATCAGTAGGCGGGCAGGTGGGGATACAGTACGTTTCGATTTCAGACCATGCCAGATCAACCAAATCGCTCCCCTCTCGGGGACGAAATGGAGGTCTTGCGGAAGCAACAGACGTGAAGGAATGTTCCATTTGCCCGCAAAGCCCTTCCATTTCCCCTCCATCCCGCCAACCCCCTGTCACTTCAGTCAGCTCGCACTGCCTAGCAAATTTGCTCCCCCCGTGCCCCGTTCAATTGGCGCATTCTGTTCCTTTCCGCGTTCTGTTCCATCCGTCCCTTCCCTTCCGCCTTTCTCTCACCAGCAGCACTGAGTCGCAGCCCGCCTCCACTTGTTCTCCAACTCTACCCCACTCCACTCTCCTGGTGTACACATGGTGCCTGTTTGAGCCCCTCCCGGTTGCCTGGCGTATAAGCTGTCACGAGCATTTCGCATAAGTTTCGTCAATTCGCAGCTAGCTAAAAAGGATTCGCATGTGCTTATAAACAAGATCTGTAACCTAGTTTGACTTCAGTCTCTTCTGCTTGACTTCGGTCTGTACCTAGTTTGACTTCGGTCTGTTCGTTACTATTGGTTGATAACCACGCGACGCGCTTGTAATGTAGGTGCATAAGGCTGGGGAAACGACCTCGGGTGCAGCGTATCCATCCGGCGCAAGGCAAATTCGCGTGCATGGGGTGAGCATCACCTGTAGTTCAATCTCCCCTTTCGAGCCTTTAGATTTCGGTGGGTGATGCAAGGTTAGGTTGTGTACGTCGAAGCGCGCAGGTAGCCAGTGCAAAGTAGGAATTAGAGTGCACGCGTTATTTTTGGTTCTATACATCCAGTTAGATTAGAGACAGTCCCGCATCTCCCGTAGAAACACCACTCGTACACAACATACCTCGAGCGTGGTCTGTTTTGGTCGACGAGAGCCGTCCGATGGCGAGGGCTAGCTGGCATCAACGGCACGCCGTGCACTTTCTTCTGTGTCGCGGCGCTGCTTCTCTCCCTCCTCTCACACACAACCACCCTGGTACGGCACGCCGCGCACCGTAGAGGATTGCACACACGCGATTCCAAATGCACGGTCGAATTCACACCGCCAAGTCTTACAGATCAGCGCAGAAACACGGTCGTCCGCTTAATGTCTCCGCGCGCTGCTTCAAGCTTCCCACCGCGTATTCGCTGACTCCCTTGACTGCGTAGCCTTCAATCAGTCATTTTGTTTTTCGACTCTCCTGTTGTCGTATCGTCGTACCACCGTCTATTACGCACGGGCCGACTCGGCGATAATTCACGCCCCTCGTCCCCACCGCCGCCCACACACCTCCCTTCCCCCTCCCTTCCCTCCCCCGTTTTTATTTCTCGCCGCCCGCTCTAGACCATCCATATTCAGTTCATAAGTTCAAATCCGTTACCGGCCACCTCTAACATCCCGTCTCCTGTCTCTGCCCTCTTCTCCTCCCTTTCCCCTGTTCTTTCCCGTGTCCCCCCTCCCACGCTTCTGCAGCGCCTGCTGCCGCTGGCAGCGATGGGGGGAGTGATGAGAGCAGGGGCGCGCGGATCGAGGGGGGAGCTGATGGCGCGGGTCAGCGCGAGACGCGCCAGGAGCAGGGGGAGGGGGCGGGTAGCGAGGACGGGGGCGGAGGGGCGGGGGAGGGGGAGAAGGAGGTGCCGGAGGGGTCAGTGGTGCGGGAGCAGCTGGGCGGGCGCCCAGAGCTGTGGCGCGGCGTGCACGTGGCTGGGGCCAAGTGGGCGGGCGCGGGCGCGGGCGCGGGGGTAGCGCAAGGGGACGGGGATGGGCTAAGGCGAGGGGAGAGACCGGGGGAAGGAGGAAGGGGGCGGGCTGCGGCAGGGCAGAGCGGAGGGGGGGAGGCAGGGGCGGGCAGCGGGACGTACCTGCAGGCGCGCGAGCTGCTGTCGAACATGGCCAGGAGCATGGTGCAGCTGGAGAGCGGACTGTCCGCCCGCCACAAGGTGCGCTATCCGCCCGCCACAAGGTGCGCCTCTCTGCCCGCCACAAGGTACCCGTGTGGGCCGCCATGCCCGGCCACCGTGCTGCCGTGCCCACTACGTTGAGTCCAATGGAGCCCCATTTGGGGGCCGTTGTTCAATACGTGGCAGCAATCACTTGGTTAAGACACCCGAGTAAGACGCCATGCCCGACCACCGTGCTGCCCTGCCAACTACGTTGCAACGAAACAGCAGAGCGTGCACGCCTTGCCCCGTTGCCATTCACACACACGCATCACACGCACAGACACACTCACCCCCGCGCCTACTCTTCCCCCCATGCATTGCGTTGCGTGGCATGGCATGGCATAACCTTGCCCCGTTACCATGCATCACATGCCTCACACCTGCTCTCTCCCCCGTGCATGGCATGGCATGGCATGGCATGGCATGGCATGGCATGGCATAGCATGGCATGGCATGGCATGGCATGTCATGGCATGGCATGGCATGGCATGGCGTGGCATGGCGTGGCGTGGCGTGGCGTGGCGTGGCGTGGCGTGGCGTGGCGTGGCGTGGCGTGGCGTGGCGTGGCATGGCATGGCATGGCATGGCATGGCATGGCGTGGCATGGCATGGCATGGCATGGCATGGCATGGCGTGGCATGGCGTGGCATGGCATGGCATGGCGTGGCATGGCATGGCATGGCATGGCGTGGCATGGCGTGGCATGGCGTGGCATGGCGTGGCATGGCGTGGCATGGCGTGGCATGGCATGGCATGGCATGGCATGGCATGGCATGGCATGTTGGACTGGCAGGAGATGGGCGAGTCAACGCAGTTCATCACGGGCATCCGCTCCAGCGACCCCGCTGCCAGCAAGGTGGGTGCCAGGCCACGTGGTTGGGTGGCAAGGCACGTGGGTGGGTGTGCTGCATGCCACGTGGTTGGGTGGCAGGGCACGTGGGTGGCAGGATGTGTGGGTGGTAGGGCATGTGGGTGGGGCTATCCGTGGGTGGTGGGGTGCGGGGATGGGGTTGGTGTGCCTGATTCTGTGCTCCTAATGTATGCTGTGCTCCTAATGTATGCTGTGCTCCTAATGTATGCTGACAGCACAGCAGCATTGGTGGCGCCGGCAGCATGCAGGGGTCACTGGAGGGAGCAGCAGCTTGGGTGTGGTAGCAGTGCGCTTGCACCCCGCATGTGGCATTGCCCTCTCATTGCGTGAGGCAACATGCGATTGGAGAACTTACTTCTGCGTACATGTGCTCTCCGCTGTGAATGGGCATGGCATGGGAATGGGAACGTGTGGGCACATGGGCATGGCATGGCATGGCAGGGCGCAGTGGTGCGGAGAGCAGAGGAGATGGTGGCGCGCATGCAGGTGCAGTGCAGTTCGCCGCCATGGAGAAGGAGGCCGCCCACAAGGACACCGTGCTCGCCCACAAGGACACCGTGCTCGCCCACAAGGACACCGTGCTCGCCCACAAGGACACCGTGCTCGCCCACAAGGACACCGTGCTCGCCCGCCTGCTCGCGCATGCCAAGTCCACCAAGCAGGTGCGTGCGCGAGCAGCTGCGCCCTTCATCCTAGCAGCTGCGTCCTTCATCCTAGCAGCTGCGCCCTTCATCCTAGCAGCTGCGCCCTTCATCCTAGCAGCTGCGCCCTTCGTCCTAGCAGCTGCGCCCTTCATCCTAGCAGCTGCGCCCTTCGTCCTAGCAGCTGCGCCCTTCATCCTAGCAGCTGCGCCCTTCATCCTAGCAGCTGCGCCCTTCATCCTAGCAGCTGCGCCCTTCATCCTAGCAGCTGCGCCCTTCATCCTAGCAGCTGCGCCCTTCATCCTAGCAGCTGCGCCCTTCATCCTAGCAGCTGCGCCCTTCGTCCTAGCAGCTGCGCCCTTCATCCTAGCAGCTGCGCCCTTCGTCCTAGCAGCTGCGCCCTTCATCCTAGCAGCTGCGCCCTTCATCCTAGCAGCTGCGCCCTTCATCCTAGCAGCTGCGCCCTTCGTCCAAGCAGCTGCGCCCTTCGTCCAAGCAGCTGCGCCCTTCATCCTAGCAGCTGCGCCCTTCATCCTAGCAGCTGCGCCCTTCATCCTAGCAGCTGCGCCCTTCATCCTAGCAGCTGCGCCCTTCATCCTAGCAGCTGCGCCCTTCATCCTAGCAGCTGCGCCCTTCATCCTAGCAGCTGCGCCCTTCATCCTAGCAGCTGCGCCCTTCATCCTAGCAGCTGCGCCCTTCATCCTAGCAGCTGCGCCCTTCATCCTAGCAGCTGCGCCCTTCATCCTAGCAGCTGCGCCCTTCATCCTAGCAGCTGCGCCCTTCATCCTAGCAGCTGCGCCCTTCATCCTAGCAGCTGCGCCCTTCCTCCTAGCAGCTGCGCCCTTCATCCTAGCAGCTGCGCCCTTCATCCTAGCAGCTGCGCCCTTCGTCCAAGCAGCTGCGCCCTTCATCCTAGCAGCTGCGCCCTTCGTCCAAGCAGCTGCGCCCTTCATCCTAGCAGCTGCGCCCTTCATCCAAGCAGCTGCGCCCTTCATCCAAGCAGCTGCGCCCTTCATCCAAGCAGCTGCGCCCTTCATCCAAGCAGCTGCGCCCTTCGTCCAAGCAGCTGCGCCCTTCATCCTAGCAGCTGCGCCCTTCATCCAAGCAGCTGCGCCCTTCGTCCAAGCAGCTGCGCCCTTCATCCTAGCAGCTGCGCCCTTCGTCCTAGCAGCTGCGCCCTTCATCCTAGCAGCTGCGCCCTTCATCCTAGCAGCTGCGCCCTTCATCCTAGCAGCTGCGCCCTTCATCCTAGCAGCTGCGCCCTTCATCCTAGCAGCTGCGCCCTTCATCCTAGCAGCTGCGCCCTTCATCCTAGCAGCTGCGCCCTTCATCCTAGCAGCTGCGCCCTTCATCCTAGCAGCTGCGCCCTTCATCCAAGCAGCTGCGCCCTTCATCCTAGCAGCTGCGCCCTTCATCCTAGCAGCTGCGCCCTTCATCCTAGCAGCTGCGCCCTTCATCCTAGCAGCTGCGCCCTTCATCCAAGCAGCTGCGCCCTTCATCCTAGCAGCTGCGCCCTTCATCCTAGCAGCTGCGCCCTTCGTCCAAGCAGCTGCGCCCTTCATCCTAGCAGCTGCGCCCTTCGTCCAAGCAGCTGCGCCCTTCATCCTAGCAGCTGCGCCCCTTGAGTCCAAAGCAGGTGCGCCCTTCATCCATCCAACCATCACGCCACTTGCTCTTTCTGCTCTTGTCCCATGGCACCCTTGCTCCCTGCTTTCTCCTCTCCCTACTTCCTCGCCTCACTTTCTTTTCTTCATTCCTGCTTTCCACTCAAATGCTTTCTTCCTGCCTCTGTGCGTTCCTGTGCGCGTGTGCGTGCGTGCGTGCGTGTGCATGTGCGTCCATGTGTGTACACTCGTGCATGTGGCTGCACTGTGAGCAGCAAATGAGGGCGGTGGAGGAGCGGTCACGAGTGGAGAAGGATGAGCTCAGGCGGGAGATGACGGAGCAGCAGCAGCGCATGCAGAAGGTGCGCCACCACACTGCCTGCTCCACTACACATATTGCACCGTACTCTACCGCATTCAACATCCATACTGCACCCTACTCTACCGCATTCAACATCCATAACCTCGCAGCTCTCACCATGTCCTTCCTTCACCGCCCACCATCTACTATCCCCCTCACTCACGTCCTGTTTCGTCCTCTCACCCGTATCCCCTGCCTCTCCCACATCCCCCCTCCTCCTTTCCTCTCCCCCACACCACCCCACCACCCCACGGACTGACGTGTGCGTGCGTGGGAGCGAGCGACCCACGTGGGCGTGCGTGCGTGCGGGCGGGCGTGCGTGCGGGCGTGCGAGCGGGCAGGAGCTGGAGTGGGCGGCGGGGAGGGAGGAGCGGATGAGGCGGCAGCTGATGGAGGCGCAGGAGGGCATCGCGCAGGAGGGCATCGCGCACCGAGACGCCTTCCTGCAGCAGCTGCAGGAGGAGGCTGCGCTCTCCGCCTCCGCACTCAAACAGGCCGCCAGGGTGGGTGGGGGGGAAGGGCTATAGGGGATGGTTGTTGCGTTTCGCCTCACAAGGGTGGTTTGTGCTGCGCCGGCTGGTGTCAGATGGGGTGGGGTGGGGTGGGGTGGGGTGGGGTGGGGTGGGGTGGGGTGGGCAGTGGTGGCGCGGGTAGGAATCACTTAGATGACTGACTGAGTGCCGGCATGTTCCAGCAGCAGTGCATATTTCTCCATGCCTTACGCCTGCTTCCCTTCCCTGCCACCCTTCATCCCCGGTCCCTCCTTTCCCGTGGTGCGGTCCCCCTGTGTGCGGGGCGGGGTCACTGGCGATGGTGGCGGCGCGGGACCGCACGTTGAGGATAGAGGAGCAGCTGGAGTCGATGGGCGACCAGCTCGCCAAGGAGCGCGCCAAGACCCGCCGCGAGCGAGAGAACACCGCCCGCGTTACTGCTGTACGTGCCCTGCCCTGCCCTGCCCCCCCTCTGCCCTGCCCTGCCCTGCCCTGCCCTGCCCTACCCTGCCCTGCCCTACCCTACCCTGCCCTGCCCTGCCCTGCCCTGCCCTGCCGCGTGTGATAAGTCAATTTGTGAGTCGATGGGCGACCAGCTGGCCAAGGAGCGCGCCAAGACCCGCCGAGAGCGCGAGAACACCGCGCGTGTCACCGCCGTGCTTGCACTGCCGCGCATTCTGCATCGGCATTGCCTGCCACTGCTCCTGATTCCGTCATGTGCCTGTTCTCCACGCATCCCGCGTTGCTTCCCAGTTGTTTGCATCCTCATCCTCCGCCACACCCCACTGTCCCCTCTCTCTCCCCCCACTCCCCATCCTCCCCCTCGCTTTCCCCCCCATCCCACCTTCTCCCCAATTCTCTCCCCCCATCCCCCCTTCTCCCCGGCGATGTGGTAGTGCAGGGGCATGGGCGCTGGCAGGAGCTGTCGGAAGCGCGCATGGCAGTGGAGGAGATGGCGGGGCGGTTGTTGAGGCGCCTCAAAACCCCCCCCTCCCCCTTTCCCCCCCTCCCCCCTTCTCCCCGGTGATGTGGGGTGGGTGCTGGCAGGAGCTGGCGGAGGCGCGCATGGCGGTGGAGGAGATGGCGGGGCGGTTGTTGAGGCGCCTCAAAACCCCCCCTCCCCCCTTCCCCCCCTCCCCCCTTCCCCCCCTCCCCCCTTTCTCCCCCTCCCCCGTTCCCCCCCTCCCCCCTTCTCCCCCTCCCCCCTTCTCCCCGCTGATGTGGCATGGGCGCTGACAGGAGCTGGCGGAGGAGCGCATGGCGGTGGAGGAGATGGCGGGGCGGGTGGGGCGGCTGGAGAGCGAGGTGCAGCGCAAGGAGCAAGAGGTGCAGCACAGCCGCCACGAGGCGGACGCTGTCAGGGCGCAGCTTAAAGCCACGCAGCAGGTAGGCAGGGCTAGCGGCCGTGGAGGGGCGACCGAGTGGGTCAATTGGTGCGTGAGTGTGTATGTGGGGAGGGGTTGAGTGAGGGTGTCAACCTGTTTATCCCGGGACGAGCCCTGTCCTGCCCCACTGTCTTGCTGCCTGCCCGTGACATCACCTCCACCTCACCTCCCCTCTGTTCCGTGGTTCCCTGCCCCAGGCGTTGGAGGAGGCAGCGCAGCAGGCGAGGGAGGCGCAGGCAGGGAGGCAGCAGGCGGAGGCGGCGGCAGAGGAGGAGCGGGCGGCAGCAGCAGCGGCGGGGGAGGGGCAGCAGAGCGCAGAGCAGCGCCTCAGGGAGGCGCAGGCACGCGTGCAGCTGCTGGAGGGCGAGGTGGTGTGGTGTCGCTCAAGGTGGGGCGAGGTGGTGTCGCTCAAGGTGGGGCGAGGTGGTGTGGGGTCGCTCAAGGTGGGGGGGGGCGGGGAGACAGTCAGAGAAGGTTGGTGGGATCCAGGAGGTGGAATGAAAGTGCTGTGTGGGCTGTTGGGGTGGGCTGTTGGGGTGTGCTGTTGGAATGTGCTGTTGGGGTGTCCTGGAGCCGCTTCAAGAGCACGTGGTCGGTTCAAATGATGAAGCACATGATGGGGTTGTGCTTGTTGACACCCCTAGCCTGTGCAGCCCTTTCATTCACCAGTGGTACTTGCTACCGTCTCTATCTCTCTCCCACCCCTCCCCCCTCTCTACCTCGCGTCCTTGTGCTCCCGTGTGGTGTGGTGCGTGTGTGTATGGGCGTGCAGGAGGTGGTGGCAAGCAAGGACTCGCTAACCTCTCTCTCTCACTCCCCACCCCTCTCCCGTGTGGTGCGTGTGTGTGTGTGGGCGGGCAGGAAGTGGCGTTGAGCAAGGACTCGCTACTGGCTGCTGCCAACACCCGCAAGGTCAGACGCGGTATCAACCTCGTATTGTCTGGCCCACTCCACCACCCCGCCATTCAACCATACACTCTCTCTCCTCCCCCTTCCCCTCTTCCCCTTTCCCCATGCCCCCATTCCTCCCGCTGTCTGTGCGGCATGGGGAGGGCAGGAGTTGGCGGGGGCGGAGGCGCGGATAGCAGCGCTGCAGGGGTCGGTGGCAGCATTGGAGGCGGAGGTGAGGCAGCAGGACCAGCTGCTCTGCGACATCCGCGCCGACGCTCTGTCTCCAGCGCTGACGCTCTGCGCACCGCGGCTCAGATCAACCAGGTGGGCTGCTGTTGGGTGGTGCAGGCAGGGGTACACATGGGAGGGTAAGGCGAACGGGGTGAGGGTTGAAACTTGGGAGGTTATGGTGATGGACGGGGCAAAGGGGAAGAAGCGATGAGACACGAGTGAGTGGCTCAGTAGGCATTGCATGGATCACGACTGGTCATGTGCGCGCTGCTGCTCACCCCTTGCACCACCTGTGCCTCCCCATGCCTGTCCCCCTCCCACCGTGATTGTAGTGGCGGCACGGCAGGACCTGAATGCAGCGAGGGAGCGCGAGGCGGAGCTGTTGGAGCAGCTGGAGCAGCGCGAGGCGGAGGTGGAGAGCCTGCGCCGCGACACCTCCGAGAACATCCGCGCACAGCGTGCTGAGCTCGTGAGTCAAGAACAGAGGGGGGGGGGGGGGGGGGAAGGGGGGGGGTTGCATTGCTCGTGAGTCATTGGAGGGCAGCGCGCTGAGCTCGTGAGGCAAGAACAGGGGGGAGGGGGGGTTGCTTTGCTCGTGAGGCAAGAACAGGGGGGAGGGGGGGGTTGCTTTGCTCGTGAGGCAAGAACAGGGGGGGAGGGGGGGGGTTGCTTTGCTCGTGAGGCAAGAACAGGGGGGGAGGGGGGGTTGCTTTGCTCGTGAGTCATTGGAGGGCGCGCGCCCCCCATTACCTCCTCGCTGCTTCACCCCCCTTCCCTCGCTTCCTGTATGCCCCTCTTCCAGCACTAAACCACCAATCCCCACCCTCTCCCCCCGTCTCCTCTTTTCGTGTGTGGTGCGGGTAGCGATGGGCAGGCGCTGCGCGAGGCGGAGAGGAGGGCGCGCGGGGGCTGGAGATGGAGAGGGGGTCGCTGCTTCACCCCCACTCTCCCCACCCGCACAAACCACCACTCTGCCCACCCGCACAAACCACCACTCTGCCCCCTTCCTTCGTGCAGGCGTTGCGCGAGGCGGAGAGGCGGGCGCGGGAGCTGGAGATGGAGAGGGAGTCGCTGCTTCACCCCCACTCTCCCCACCCGCACAAAACTGCCTCTCCCCCCACCCCCACAAAACTGCCTCTCCCCCCACCCCCACAAAACTGCCTCTCCCCCCACCCCCACAAAACTGCCTCTCCCCCCACCCCCACAAAACTGCCTCTCCCCCCACCCCCACAAAACTGCCTCTCCCCCCACCCCCACAAAACTGCCTCTCCCCCCACCCCCACAAAACTGCCTCTCCCCCCACCCCCACAAAACTGCCTCTCCCCCCACCCCCACAAAACTGCCTCTCCCCCCACCCCCCACAAAACTGCCTCTCCCCCCACCCCCACACAAAACTGCCTCTCCCCCCACCCCCACAAAACTGCCTCTCCCCCCACCCCCACAAAACTGCCTCTCCCCCCACCCCCACAAAACTGCCTCTCCCCCCACCCCCACAAAACTGCCTCTCCCCCCACCCCCACAAAACTGCCTCTCCCCCCACCCCCACAAAACTGCCTCTCCCCCCACCCCCACAAAACTGCCTCTCCCCCCACCCCCACAAAACTGCCTCTCCCCCCACCCCCACAAAACTGCCTCTCCCCCCACCCCCACAAAACTGCCTCTCCCCCCACCCCCACAAAACTGCCTCTCCCCCCACCCCCACAAAACTGCCTCTCCCCCCACCCCCACAAAACTGCCTCTCCCCCCTTCCTTCCTGCAGGCGTTGCGCGAGGCGTAGAGGCGGGCGCGCGAGCTGGAGATGGAGAGGGAGTCGCTGCGGCGGGGCGTGGCGAAGCGCGACCAGGCGCTGGGGCTCATGAAGAGGGAGCTCGAACGCAGCGCCCACATGCTCTCCGCCGCCGCTGACACCCGCCAGGTGAGGCGTGCTGCTCATATCACACTCGGCTGCTCTTTTCAGGTAGATGAGTTCGTGGAGCAACAACCGTGCTGTGACTGAGGAAATTTCTTTGCACTGTGCCCCCCTCGCCCTCCCTTGCCATGGGATACCACCCTCATGCACTCCCATTGTGCCCTCATGCACTCCCGTTGTGCCCTCATGCACTCCCAATGTGCCCTCATGCACTCCCATTGTGCCCTCATGCACTCCCATTGAGCCCGCGTGAACGGCAGGCGCTGCGGAGCATGAAGGAGCAGATGGAGTGGATGCAGGAGGAGGCGCGCGTCAAGGAGGAGCGCCTGGCAGCGCTGCAGGAGGAGTTTGTCTCCGCCCTCAAGGGCACCACCTTCCCATCACTGGTACACGCCTTTTTCGTGCACGCATGCATGCAAGCACCTTTGTTATCCTTAGGTGCTTCTCCTAGTATGTTGATGTGCAACGAGTTCGCTGTTTTCGTAAACCTCGCTTCGCCAGTGCTCATTTCTTTTTTGAACTGACATGATTCATACAGGACAAGAGCATTCTAAAGCGAAGAAAGGTTCCGCCACAAGGGAAGTCGTCTGGAGGAGATGCGCAACCCGAATTACCTTCCTGATAGCAACACCTACCTCCATGTCAATGGAGTGCCTGTAGCAGCAACTGTATAAAGCATGGGGAGTGCTTGGTTCATGAGTCTGTATGCCAAACGTTTGTTACGAATAAAGAAATGTGAAAGGGTATGGTACATTCATGGCAGTAGCAAGAACGAGAAATCCAGAAGCAAGTACGAAGGCGAAAGATCAGAAGCGACGCAGACGGTTGCGAAACATCTGGACAGTCGGAGCGGACAGCATCAGGCAGCTGCATGAGCGAGGATTTTGGAGGGAAACGATTTGTAACTGCCCCACAATGCACTAGGTTTGAATTCCATCTAATTCCATTTCATTCCATGTATTTTCCAAGATACCGTGCACATCCTGCACGTGTGCGGATCCTTCCGCGTTTTGGGGGTGGAAGTGCTCGTTCCGAGCGTTTTTCTTCCGCCAGGTCACGTGGCTGTGCTTGTCTGGTCCTCTTGCACTTCGTTCACATGTGCGGATCCTAGCTCTCGTTCCGAGCGTTTTTCTTCCGCCGGATCACGTGGCTGCGCTTGTCTGGTCCTATTGCCAAGCCAGCAAGGGCGTGGGAGGGTTGCGAGCATCATCGGTCATCGGCGCTTGCGAATGAAGAGCGCCCGCTGCACTTCCTGCACGTGTGCGGATCCTTCCGCGTTTTGGGGCTGGAAGCGCTCGTTCCGAGTGTTTTTCTTCCACCGGGTCACGTGGCTGCGCTTGTCTGGTCCTCTTGCCAAGCCAGCAAGGGCGTGGGAGGATTGCGAGCATCATCAGTCATCGGCGCTCGCGAATGAAGAGCGTCCGCTGCACTTCCTGCACGAATGCGGATCCTTCAGCATTTTGGGGGTAGAAGCGCTCATTCCAAGCGTTTTTCTTCCACCAAGTCACGTGGCTGCGCTTGTCTGGTCCTCTTGCCAAGCCAGCAAGGGCATGGGAGGGTTGCGAGCATCATCGGTCATCAGCGCTCGCGAATGAAGAGCGCCCGCTGCACTTCATGCACATGTGCGGATCCTTCCGCATTTTGGGGGTGAAAGCGCTCGTTCCAAGCGTTTTTCTTCCGCCGGGTCACGTGGCTGCGCTTGTCTGGTCCTCTTGCTAAGCCAGCAAAGGCATGAAAGGGTTGCGAGCATCATCGGTCATCGGCGTTCGCGAATGAAGAGCGCCCGCTGCACTTCGTGCACATGTGCAGATCCTTCCGCGTTTTGGGGGTGGAAGCGCTCGTTCCGAGCATTTTTCTTCCACCAGGTCACGTGTCTGCGCTTGTCTGGTCCTCTTGCCCAGCCAGCAAAGGTGTAGGAGGGTTGCGAGCATCATCGGTCATCGGCGCTCGCGAATGAAGAGCGCCCGCTGCACTTCATGCACATGTGCGGATCCTTCCGCGTTTTGGGGGTACTAGCGCTCGTTCCGAGCGTTTTTCTTCCACTTGGTCACATGGCTAAGCTTGACTGGTCCTCTTGCCAAGCCAGCAAGGGCGTGGGAGGGTTGCGAGCATCATCGGTCATTGGCGCTCGCGAATGAAGAGCGCCCGCTGCACTTCCTGCACGTGTGCGGTTCCTTCCGCGTTTTGGTGGTGAAAGCGCTCGTGCCGAGCGTTTTTCTTCCTCTGGGTCACGTGGATGCGTTTGTCTGGTCCTCTTGCCAAGCCATCAAGGGCGTGGGAGGGTTGCGAGCATCATCAATCATCGGCGCTCGCGAATGAAGAGCGCACGCTGCACTTCCAATACGTGTGCGGATCCTTCCGCGTTTTGGTGGTAGAAGCGCTCAATTCAAGCGTATTTCTTACGCCATGGCACATGGCTGCGCTTGTCTGGTCCTCTTGCCAAGCCAACAAGGGCGTGGGAGGGTTGCAAGCATCATCGGTCATCGGCGCTCACGAAATGAAGAGCGCCCGCTGCACTTCCTGCACGTGTGCGGTTCCTTCCGCGTTTTGGTGGTGAAAACGCCGGTTCCGAGCGTTTTTCTTTCCGCCAAGTGACGTGGCTGCGCTTGTCTGGTCCTCTTGCAAAGCCAGCAAGGGCGTGGGAGGGTTGCGAGCATCATCGGTCATCGGCGCTCGCGAATGAAGAGCGCGCGCTGCACTTCCTGCACGTGTGCGGATCCTTCCGCGTTTTGGGGGTGGAAGCGCTCGTTTCGAGCGTTTTTCTTCTGCCGGATCACGTGCCTGCACTTGTCTGGTCCTCTTCCCAAGCCAGCAAGGGCGTGGGAGGGTTGCGAGCATCATCGGTCATCGGCGCTCGCGAATGATGTGAGCCCGCTGCACTTCGTGCACATGTGCGGAACCTTCCGCGAAGGTACTAGCGCTCGTTCCGAGCGTTTTTCTTTCGCCAGCTCACGTGGCTGCGCTTGTCTGGTCCTATTGCCAAGCCATCAAGGGCGTGGGAGGGTTGCGAGCATCATTGGTCATCGGCGCTCGCAAATGAAGAACGCCCTCTGCACTTACTTCCTGCACGAATGCGGATCCTTCAGCATTTTGGGGGTAGAAGCGCTCATTCCAAGCGTTTTTCTTCCGCCAAGTCACGTGGTTGCGCTTGTCTGGTCCTCTTGCCAAGCCAGCAAGGGCGTGGGAGGGTTGCAAGCATCATCGGTCATTGGCGCTCGCGAATGAAGAGCGCCCGCAGCACTTCCTGCACGTGTGCGGTTCCTTCCGCGTTTTAGTGGAGCCCTCGTTCCGAGCGTTTTTCTTCTGCCGGGTCACGTGGCTGCGCTTGTCTGGTCCTTTTGCCAAGCCAGCAAGGGCGTGGGAAGGTTGCGAGCATCATCGGTCATCGGCGCTCGCGAATGAAGAGCGCCCGCTGCACTTCGTACACATGTGCGGATCCTTCCGCGTTTTGGGGGTGGAAGCGCTCGTTCTGAGCGTTTTTCTTCTTGCAAGTCACGTGGCTGTGCTTGTCTGGTCCTCTTGCCAAGCCAGCAAGGGCGTGGGAGGGTTGCGAGCATCATCGGTCATCGGCGCTCGCGAATGAAGAGCGCCCGCTGCACTTCCTGCACGTGTGCAATTCCTTATGCGTTTTGGTGGTGAAACGCTCATTCCAAGCGTTTTTCTTCCGCCGGGTCACGTGGCTGCGCTTTTCTGGTCCTATTGCCAAGCCAGCAAGGGCGTGGGAGGGTTGCGAGCATCATCGGTCATCGACGCTTGCGAATGAAGAGCGCCCGGCGCACTTCCTGCACGTGTGCGGATCCTTCCCCGTTTTGGGGATGAAAGCGCTCATTCCGAGCGTTCTTCTTCCACGGTGCGCTTTTCTGGTCCTCTTGCCAAGCCAGCAAGGGCGTGGGAGTGTTGCGAGCATCATCGGTCATCGGCGTTCGCGAATGAAGAGCGCCCGCTGCACTTCGTGCATATGTGCAGAACCTTTCGCGTTTTGGGGGTACTAGCGCTTGTTCCGAGCGTTTTTCTTCCGCCAGCTGACGTGGCTGCACTTGTCTGGTCCTCTTGCCAAGCCATCAAGGGCGTGGGAGGGTTGCGAGCATCATCGGTCATCGGCGCTCGCAAATGAAGAGCGCCCGCTGCACTTCCTGCACAAGTGCGGATCCTTCAGCATTTTGGGGGTAGAAGCGCTCATTCCAAGCGTTTTTCTTCCGCCAAGTCACGTGGCTGTGCTTGTCTGGTCCTCTTGCCAAGCCAGCAAGGGCATGGGAGGGTTGCGAGCATCATCGGTCATTGGCGCTCGCGAATGAAGAGCGCCCGCAGCACTTCCTGCACATGTGCGGTTCCTTCCGCGTTTTGGTGGTGAAAGCGCTCATTCCGAGCGATTTTCTTCCTCCGGGTCACGTGGCTGCGTTTGTCTGGTCCTCTTGCCAAGCCAGCAAGGGCGTGGGAGGGTTGCGAGCATCATCGGTCATCGGCGCTCGCGAATGAAGAGCGCACACTGCACTTCCTACACGTGTGCGGATCTTTCCGCGTTTTGGTGGTAGAAGCGCTCATTTCAAGCATTTTTCTTCCGCCATGGCACATGGCTGCGCTTGTCTGGTCCTCTTGCCAAGCCAGCAAGGGCGTGGGAGGATTGCGAGCATCATCGGTCATCGGCGCTCGCGAATGAAGAGCGCCCGCTGCACTTCCTGCACATGTGCGGATCCTTCCGCGTTTTGGTGGTGGAAGCGCTCGTTCTGAGCGTTTATCTTCTGCCAAGTCACATGGCTGCGCTTGTCTGGTCCTCTTGCCAAGCCAGCAAGGGCGTGGGAGGGTTGCGAGCATTATCGGTCATCGGCGCTCACGAATGAAGAGCGCCCGCTGCACTTCCTGCACGCGTGCGGATCCTTCCGCGTTTTGGGGGTGGAAGCGCTCGTTCCGAGCGTTTTTCTTCCGCCGGGTCATGTGGCTGCGCTTGTCTGCTATTATTGCCAAGCCAGCAAGGGTGTGGGAGGGTTGCGAGCATCATTGGTCATCGGCGCTCGCAAATGAAGAGCGCCCGCTGCACTTCCTGTACGAATGCGGATCCTTCAACATTTTGGGGATAGAAGCGCTCATTCTAATCGTTTTTCTTCCGCCAAGTCACGTGGCTGCGCTTGTCTGGTCCTCTTGCCCAGCCAGCAAGGGCGTGGGAGGGTTGCGAGCATCATCGGTCATCGGCGCTCGCGAATGAAGAGCGCACGCTGCACTTCCTGCACATGTGCGGATCCTTCCACGTTTGGGGGTACTAGAGCTCGTTCCGAGCGTTTTTCTTCCGCCAGGTCACGTGGCTGCGCTTGTCTGGTCCTATTGCCAAGCCATCAAGGGCGTGGGAGGGTTGCGAGCATCATCGGTCATCGGCACTCGCAAATGAAGAGCGTCCGTTGCACTTCCCGCATGAATGCGGATCCTTCAGCATTTTGGGGGTAGAAGCGCTTATTCAAAGCATTTTTTTTCCGCCAAGTCACAAGGTTGCACTTGTCTGGTCCTCTTGCCAAGCCAGCAAGGGCGTGGGAGGGTTGCGAGCATCATCGGTCATCGGCGCTCACGAAATGAAGAGCGCCCGCTGCACTTCCTGCACGTGTGCGGATCCTTCCGCGTTTTGGGGGTAGAAGC